AGAGGCATAGTTTAGTGTTTTACTACACGATGTTCATTCAACTATACTCTACATCCAAGTGTATCTATCTAATACAAAACACACGCTTATATACGCTACCAAGAAGGAAGAGAACGGAGAGAGAAGAAAATACATAGAGACAAAAGTTATTGAGAGAGAATGGGATACGGAGAAAGAGAAAGTTATCTAGAGAGAAAAGATACACAGAAAGATTACGCACTGTTCAGTGGACGATTATGCGTTACGTCACTGCAGTATGTTCATCATCTCTATGACTTACATGTGGACGTCCGGCGGTTCATATAACCCCTAACTAATATAGTCCTTTACGCGGACGTACTTCTTGGCACAGTGCAGTGCTCCTAATAACAGCAGAGAGGTCATCTTTTCTCAGGTATATATGTCAGTCAAGGTAATTCGAAAAATTCTCAACCGCTAGATCAACACTCCTTTTTTTAATAAGGAACAACTTTTGTCATTGAAGCATTTTAAAATTTTAAAGTTTTCATTAAAAAAAGTGAATTTAAAAAGATTTTCCTCCCTTCCATATACTTTACATATATTGTTGTTATTGGGAACATTTTTCGCCTGTATGTTGTTATTAGGAACAGCGCTCTTAATAACAACGAATTCAATTTCTTAGATTGTACCGCTAATAACTCAACCATTTTTTAAAGATAGAAAATTTTGTTTTTTACTATTCGATGGAGAAAATATTTTTCTATTCAAAAATATAAAAAAATCTAAGTTTTTATAGAAGATGATGTAGTTATTAATGAAATTTCAGAGACCTCTAAAATATCTGTTGTTATTAGGAACATTGATTGTACATAGCTTTGCATATTAGATTACTCACTCAGTTCTCATAAGTCGTCATCATATGAATATCAGTAGCAGTCCTGAAAATAAATCACACCCAGTTTCATTGTCCGTCTACGCTAAATCAATCTAACTAAGTATAGAATCGTGCTCGTTGTAATTAGATTGTATGCAGCCTGTTTTAGACAACGACTAATATTGCTCACCTGTACAGAATGACCATTGGGTGGCTACTTGGCTATTATCAACACTAGTAGCGCATTGAGGCCGAAAATCAGCATTATTCGGACCCTTAATTGTACAGCTTGTGTACGTGACCTACGTAAAAAAAAATTTCAGTGATTTTATTGAATGAAATAACTATCTTTACAACTTACACCTTGATAGGTAAATGGAAACGAACACGAAGAACCACTTGTTGTACTCACTAAAGTGAAGCATTGGAAACAATGAAGATTATATCAATACAAAATTGTACAATTGCTACCAGAACACATATCTGGAGGATTAGCCAAATTTGCTTCGAAAATAGGATCCCACATGTATGAACATGTTTGCGCATCTAGAAATCACAAAATTTTCTCTAAATAAATGCTCGCATTCATCATAGAAAAGCATACTTGCTGATTTAACCCATAATAGAGCTTGTAGAAGAAAAGCAATCGCAAGAACCATCATGATCTAAACTATTACAATATGGCTGCCAGTCTTTTTTACTGAAAAAAAAATTAAATTTTAATCATCGTTTTACGTCTTTATATATAGATTCAGCAGTTTTATTTTTCTTTTCTCTCTCTGTTTAATAATTTTCATACACTTTATGGTACTCGACGCAAAAGAGAGGAACGGTCGGCCTTGCTTATATTATGTGTCTCTCAGAGAAAAGAAAACGGTGAAAGAAGAAAATAAACCATGCTGTACTCCAATGTAAGTGATTTTGCAATTGTTGCACTTTGAAACGGCGCCATACAGGCGTACATGTATTTAGATGTTTATTGAAGTTTGAGAATTTTTAGCGCTTTTATTTTTACCTGGATGATTCTAAAGCTTCCAAAGCGAGTTATTTTCAAGCGAAAGTGCGATAAGGACATTAAAAGTTTAAGCTATTTTTGTATCGGGATACCTTTGCTTCATAAAAGTACTCTTAGTATTTAATAGGATGATTATTAATTTATCAGTCGTTGCAAGTCATCAAAGTGTACTGCTACTGCAAAATACCATGAATCACAGAGTCAAGGACATGTAATTATGCTACAAAGCTCTACACTTTTGAGAATATCACTTTTGCATAAATCGAAATTCACTGAGGCATCCTATCTTTCTTAATTTTATCAATTTAGATTCTATCCTAAGCCAATACAACCGGTCCTGTTTTTAAAACATTCTGAGTAAGTTACAACTACTCCTACGCTCAATCCACAACCGTCGATCTCACTTTCTTTTTTTTTTATGTACGTGAAAAATAATTGTTAGATGATGTTTTGAATAGTCGTCCATTAGAAAAATTCCGTTTCGTGATTGACATATGTAAATTTTTCTGCCAGTTTTAGTCATCTAAGTAATGTTTTTGGTTTATAGGTGATCTAACATGAAATGACGTATATATAAGTAAGGTCTTTATTTTTTTAAATAAGATGCTTACTACTAAAAACTACAATTATTAAATCGAGGGCCAAACTTATGTTTCATCGTGTCAAACATCTATTTCATCTTCTTGTCAGTCTATTTTTTACATCGTTAAAAATAAATATAGCGTTATCGCTAGCAATTCAACAGAAAATTAATGATGAATTTACAGATCTTATCTCTATACCAGTGCCATTTAATCTTCATCAGTATGCTCTCCCTGAAATAGATATTCTTGAATTGACACAATATTATTTTAAAAAGAATAATCTCAATCTTCAAGCAACTAATTGTTTACGATCATTGGTTAATAAAATTCCAGAATCAACAACATATCATGATGAACCTGATACTGTGTTTTACTTTTTACAAGATAATTTAGTAATCAATATGCTAGAATAAATCACAATTCCGACAAATAAATGTTTTCTATTATTACGATAAAATATATGCATTAAGAAAAGTTAGTCCAAAAGCAATGCCATCATTCATAACTTTATCAAATAGTTTTTTATTTGAGGGTGTGGATGTAGGGACTTTCTTTTATACGAAAACACACACACATTTACTGTACATGTATAACACCTTTTGTGACACATTTTAAATGAGTTCGTATTGACTTTCATTATTAAATACATATTCTTGTTGTTGTCAAGATAAATTTATGATACTATCTAGAAACGTATCTATCTTCCAAATCTATGTGAACTAGTTGCTAATAGTTTCTTAGAAAAAGTTATTTATTTGAGCCAAAACATATCCCCTATACAATCGAATAATGATGAATGGAATATCGAAACAAATTCAAATTCATGTAAAAACTAAAATTTTCATTCAGTAGGCATCCGAATATTTGATTATTTGTAGGAACTTTAAAAACAAACTATATCAGTTCACTATCTTAAAATACAAAACTAAATTTTTATACTCGTATCTTATTTTCTTTCGTATCAGATAAGATTCCGATCTGTTTTTATATCTGCATCAAATAAGCAGTGCAATATTTACTGATATCAACATTCATCATCTCCGTAGTTTTTGTCTAAAGTATTAAATTGATTTGAGTCTTGCTGTTTTTTTAATGAATAGTAGAACACAAAACATCCGATATTTCAAATTGATAACGATAAACTTTTTCTCCATTCTAACTTAACAAAAATGAACGGTACAGTGTTTTATTGAGAAACGCCGATAATAACTTTAGTGTGAACACATGTAATTTACATTATCTTAATCAGCATAATAGCTAACATAAGATTACGAAACAAACTGGTTATAAATGAAAAAATAGTGATAAACAGAGAAAAAAGGCTATGGTTCACAATTGACTGGTAATCAATTGCAGACATTGCTTGTAAAATAATACAAGCGATTAATCAAAACTATTCTCATTTCATTGTTCAATCCATTTTTCTAAGACAACAAAGGGAGATAAATCGATTTGAAACACACTCAAGATCAACATTTACCAATTCTCCATCAGTGCTTCCTCAGCAAATAATAAAGTGATGGATCATTTTGATTTTTCAAAAGTGACTTTAGCTAATATATTCTCTTTTATAGACTGAAAAAAAAGGCTCTCATCCATGACCCAAGCAAACAAAAAAATTTAAAAAAGCATTTAAACGCGATAAATTTTCCGACCGTGTTTGGCTGACAGACGAGGTTCTCGACTATTAGCAAATGATGACCGGCAAAATTCAACATTTAAATGGTCATTTTTGCAAGTAGCTTGAAATTTTGACGTGCCTTTTACTGCTAATCGTCTTTCATTTCACCATCACTTTTCAGAAACATTATCAACGTTTAGTAAGAAAGCTCGATTCAGTAAAGTTCGCGCTGAGAAAAATTTAACGTTTAAATAATGTTTTCGCACAATCATGCATTAAGGGGTGGCACATTTAATTTACTTTTTATTTACGTAACTAAAGTAAAGTAACTACTATAGTGTTAGCTTGTCGTGTTCGAGCTTTACGTTTTATTTATTTCTTCCTTTTTCCTATCACACACACACATTTATATATATAAGAGAGAGAGAGAGGAAACAGAAAGATAACATGAAAGAGAGAGAACAAAGAAACGACGTCCAGGGAGAATACGTATACCCTGTAGCAATCCTCCCCTCTTTAATTAGAGGGGTGTCCGCACACCGTGTCGTGCGAGCTACTGAATGTCATTTAATGTTCTAATTTTTTTTGAAAAGATTTAATTGCTTGTCATGAACGTGTTGCTAATGCCATTGATGATAAATGATATAAATGTTTGTGTGGCTAATTCATTTTTACCACGTTCCTCACTCATCATATATATCATTCTTGTTCGCCTAGCCATGCTTCAGCTTCCCTTAGTTCATAATAATATTGATAAAGACTTTCTAATAATTCTAAATCTCCACGTCGTTGTTTAATTGTATCTTTTAATTCAACCTAATTATTTGTTAATTGTTGTAAACGTTGTTGAAATTCTTCTTGATGTGATGGATATTCTTGAGTGATGCGTACACATTCATTATTTAACTGTTTTAATAAACGTTGTTCATGATTTTCAATTTCTTTTAATAATGATTCATTTTTACCTGTTAAAATGATTGAAAATAAATTCAATATGTAAACAATCTTCGATGCCCACTTCCATTTTTATACTATTATTTATTTCTGGATATTGAGATAATTATTGAACACATATATCACGTTCGTCAATTGTATTTGTAAAACGTCTTATGATTGTCAAACGAAGAAAATATCTCAATTTAACATTAATACCAATGTATGACTCGTAGGGTTTTTCAACGTTTGGGAAATGAAAATCTATGCTTGTATTTTCAGTTAATTCGCCAGGAAGAGCAAGTAACTTTGATAAATTAATAAATTCATGAATCGTACTTCGATCATTGAGCATTTCAATTTTTCCAATGAATTCCAATCGAATGCCTTGATGTTCTACTTTGCTCCTTTTCTTCAATCTAATTTGTACCGATCCACCGACATCTTCACCATCATAATAGATATATTGCAATGATCGTTTATTATTATTATCATCAAGTTTAACTTCAATTTGTTTTCGTTGACCTTGTGGATCAAGTATAAAATCAATATGACCTTTTGATCCTAAACCTAATAGATCCATTATTTATTAATCTCTTGGTAAGTTGTAATAAGCCAGGTTTGAATATTGTGGTTCGCCATGATGATAAGGTGTTAGTGATATCATTATTGGAACGCTATAGTGTCGTTTCCATTATCTAAACAAATCAAATGATTAGTGTTATTGTTAACAAATGATTTGTCCTTATTGTGTCGTCGTTGTCGCTGTGTTCGTTTTTTTCTCGTGCAATCGTTTGTTATCGTTTCAGTTTCGTTGTGTTTGTGTGTATTTTTGTTTTTATTTCATTAATTAATATATTATTATTTTTTAATTAATTTTTTTTACCCCCATCGTTCGATGTATTGTGTTTTGGAGAAATAATTTATTTTAATTTTCGTTGTTGCCGCTTCTTTTTCTTGTTTTGATTTAAATCCGATTACAACTTCGGCTAAATTACGGTTGATGGCGATTTGATGACTTGTATAGATGTAGGGGTGGTACTTTATATTTACTTTACTAGTAAATAGGTAAATAAATTATTTACTAGTTACTTTTATAAAGTAAATAAATAATTTATTATTTACTTTACAAAAGTAAATAAATAATTTAGTATTTACTTTACAAAAGTAA